GTTGGTAACTGACTTCCTACTTAGTCCTCTCCGGTGCTCCTTTTACATACTAGTTTTGTGTGGCTGCTGTAAAAAATTACCACAAACCTGGTGGCTTAAAACAACAGAAACTTATTGTCTCACAATTCTCAGGGCCCAGAAGATCAAAATTGGGTTGTTGGCAGGGCTGTGCTCCCTCCATAGGCTCTAGGGGAGATTCTGTTTTTGCCTCTTTCAGCTTTGGGAGTGGTTAGTATGACTTGGTGTTTCTTGGCCTGTGGCTTCCAGTCTCTGTCTCTCTGGTCACACTGCCTCCTCCTCTTCTGTCTGTTAGATCTCTGGGGTGTGTCTCTTACAAGGATACTTATCATTGAATTTAGCACCCTCACCCTACCACAATCCAGGATGATTTTATCTCAAGATTGTTAACTTAATTACATCTGCAAAGACCCTTTTTCCAAATAAGATAACAGTCACAGGTTCCAGGAATTAGGATGTGGACATGTCTTCTTGGGGAACACCGTTAAATACACTACATTTTAGTAATTAGGTAAGGAAAATGAAACAGAATTTTTAATAAACTGACAAAGAAATACGCATTGGTTAGGATGCTTTTAGTGACAAGCAAACTTAAAGTTGAAGCTTCCACTTAAGTACATAAGAAATAAAGCAATTTATCATCTCACATTAAAAGAATTCCAGAGGTGGGACGGCGCTCAGGCTGGTTAATTTTGTGGCTCAACAATGTCATGAGAAGATCCAAGAATGTCACACCTTTTCTTCAGACTAGGTCCCTGTAAGTCATCTTAGAATATCATATCCTAACGACAATATCCAGAAGCAGAAAAAGGAACCCATTTCTTCCCATTGCCTCCTTTTTAACAGTGAGAAAACCTTTCCCAGAGCTCCGCCACTCATTCCAGTAGATTCCCTTCTCATATCATTGGCCTGACAAGATCCTATGACCTGCCTAACCAGTGACTAGCGAGGAGGATGGGGTCTTCATGATGAGTCAGACCAATTCCTATTGAGGGGATGAGGACCACCTCTCCTGAAGCAGATGGCTGCACAAGATCAGAGTTCTATCTGATAAAAGGAAGGAGGAAATGGCGGTTGGGCAGGCACTCAACAATGCCTGCTTCAGAATGAATAAGATTATGAAAGGAATATCGAATAGACATTTGCTATTATTACAAACAAGGCATCTGTGTAGATATGAATAGGTGCACCTTATATTTCTCTCTCTTCTTTAACACCATCCATGTAATTATAGGTTATATATAATGTTTTGCGAAGAACTTTTTGTTAGTGTCTGTTTTGTCTTACCATATCTCTATCTATAATTTTTAAAACAGTACATGATAAATTTTAAGATCACCTGGAATCCTAGTATTTTGGGGGATAGAGGCGGGTGGATTGCTTGAGCCCCAGAGTTCGAGTCCAGCCTAGGCAACATGGTGAAACCTCAACTCTACAAAATATACAAAACTTAGCCAGGCATGGTGGTGTACCTGTATTCTACTCAGGAGGCTGCAGTGGGAGAATTGCTTGAGCCTGGGAGGGAGGCTGCAGTGAGCCCAGATTGTGCCACTGTACTCCAGCCTGCCTCAAAAAAAAGAGTCATATTTTGTTTATTTAAAGGAGTACAAATTTAGTGGTTTTATATTTATATTTATCATCTACTAGACGCAGGAGATTTAAATTTGCTCTAATTCATTTAATATATCAATGCTTGCAAAAGAAAAAGAATTTGTTTTCTGGTGAAGATAGTAATTTTTTAAAATCCAAAATATCAACAATAAGTAAGAAAATAGAAGCAACCAAGCTTCCTGAATAACCATAGATAGAGCCACCTATCCACTCTGGACCACTTGAACATCTCTGGACTATATTGTAAGGAAGAAAGAAAAGTTTATCTTGTTTGAGCCACTGTATTTTAGAGCCTATTATAATGGCTTTTGGGGAAGGAGGTACAATTAGGGGGTCTGATTTTGTGATGAGACCCTGAAATTCAGAATTTTATATAAAATCTATAAGTCTTTAAAAGTATTCATTGCTAATTGAATATTATTTGAAGCTCTGTTTAGGTTAAAACAATATGTCAGTGGATTACCACTGTCCCTGTGGCATTGTCTCTTGTCTCTAACATTTCTTGGCTGTGTGATTAGATGATTCTATGTTTGTGCCTTCTGTTTCCCTCTACTACAGGTGCAGTACTATTTTCAGGGAGGGAGAGAAAGAATCCCTGGCTAATATTTGAAAGGAGGGATGGAAGGTAAGATGCAGACTCTATGTCACTTATTTAGTACCTTGTAGAAAAACTCATTTATCAGATGAAACCACTACAAAGCACCCAGCTCCTGAAGGCAAGGTTATGGTAGATCATGGCATCTAGAAATATATCCACCAGTTAAAAGTCCACTGAGTGAATTAAATGAGTTAATACATGTAAGATCTTCACATTGCCTGGCAAATAGCAAATACACATTTAAGGTGGATATTAGTATTATGGTGCTTGTCCAACATCACAGCTAGTTAGTGGAGTGACAGAGAGGCTTCCTAAAACTGACCTTCTGTGCTTCAACTTCAACTTGTTCACCCATTTTTCTTTGTCTTTTTGTTCTATATTCTTTGAGATTTCGTTGATTCTTCTATGTGACTAATTCTACCTTAGTCATGTTCATCATTGGATTCAGCTTTTTAAAGACTTTTTTTTTGTTTTGACAATCTTATTTTTAATTTTCAAGAATTTTTCTAGTGCTCTGAGAGCTCATTTTTTATGGCAGTCTATTCTTACATTATGGATGCAATATTCTATCTTTTTTATGAGGACATTAATTAAAATTTTTTTAAAGTTCTCTTCAGTTTCTTGTGTTATTTTTATGTTTTCCAGGGTCATCTGTTCTGTTTGCTCATTCTGGTCCTTTTCCTTTCCGCTATTAGTTTTCCTCAATTATTCTGCATTGGTCATTCATATTTATGGGTAAAAATCTAGTTTGATTAGTATAGGGAGTTAGCATGATCTTCCTCTGCAGCTACATGGGTCTTTTTCCCCAGCAGGCTTTTCCTAAGGGTTTCCTAAGCTTTGTGTAAGCACACTGGTTGTGTTGACAAGCTTGACTTTTGGGTTTATGGATAGAGAACAGACAGGCAGGCTGAAGACATTCTCCAATTATTATTTTCTCTCCTCATCCCTCCCCATGGGGAAGGGGGAAAAGAGAGGTCTTAGGGCACTTCTGGCTCTTCTCTTTCTAGTTCCTCTTTAACAAACTTTCCCAGGCAGGTAACTCACATTCTTAATATTGTCAGGATTTATCCTACAGATAAACATGACTGTTTCACAGACATTTCTTTCATTAATATGCAATGATATGCATACTTATTGGCTCTGATCCTTTTACTAGTTTATTCCACTCTTATTGTTCAGATCCTATCTCTTTTTTACTTCTAGTAAGTCCTTTTAATGATCCAATGATGGCAGATACTTAATGATAACTTTCTAAGGTATGTTCATCTATATTTTTTATCTCTCTGTATGACTTTTTATGTCATTTAAATGTACTTGGAAGTGTATGCTTAGCCTATTTTGATTAGTGTTTCCAATGAGTAATTTAAAAATATCTTTTCTCTATTGCCTTATTAAAACTTCTATTTAAGATTCAATTTCTCTTTTTAGTTTTATTTTAAGTGACACAGGATATTGTATACATTGTATAATGATATCCAAGGTCATCTGTTTTGTTTGCTTATCCTGATATTAAAAACATTTTTTAATTGGAAAAGCTGACAATGAAGAAGTATATGTTTGCTGATGTAGTTGATATTTGTAATACGTAGAAAAGGGAAGCAGAAAAACATTCATTAGTTTTGTCTAATTGTGCCAATAACACTTAATTATAGGTTTCAGAGGTCCTGGGAGAGCTTCAAGCTCTATTTGAGGAGCAATTTAAAGGGTTATAAGTGGAGGGTTGATTCTTTCTTGATTTATTCACCACCACTTTCATACTAAATCTTTTGTACCTTCTCTCCCAAATTATTATGTTGAAATCCTAATCTCCAATGTGATAGTATTAGGAGGCAATCCTTTGCGAGGTAATTAGGCCATGTAGATGGAGCCCTCATAAATGGGGTTTGTGCCTTTACAGGGGACTTCAGAGAGTTCTCTCACCTTCTCTGCCATGTGAGAATATTAGAAGATAGCAGTGTGCAGTCCAGAAGAAGGTCTTCACCAGAACCTGATCATGCTCGTGCCTTGATTTTGCACTTCCCAGCCTCCATAGCTGTAAGAAATAAATTTCTGTTGTTTATAAGCCACCTTGTCTATTTTAATCTTCTATAGCAGCCTAAATTGGGTAAGACACAACCCAAACTGGACTACTAAAGCCATGAAAAGGATCCTATATTCTGACCCTTCCAGCTTCTCCAAGCTCAGTCTTTCTGGGTCCTCACTGAGCAATGAGGGAGGACTTTGATGGCCATGCTACTGATACAACTGTTCAAGGAGCTTTCTTACGGTCCTAGGATTTCCCACCTGCAGCTCATTAGGTACTGTTGTTGTTTGAAGCCAAAGATCAATATCTAAGCTACAACACCTGATTCTCCACGCCAGTTGCAAATGCCAGGAAGAGAAAAGGAGTGTGTGTGTGTGTGTGTGCACGCGCGCGCGCGTGTGTGTGCGCGCGCGCGCACACTCATATACAGTATCTATGGGCTAGGATGCAAGTAGTTTTAGTTCAACAGTAAGAAGTTAGGGAATCTAAAGCGCTCATAGCCATGTTTTTCTTCAATGGCCCATCACGGAGCTGAATTTGGATTAAAAACTCTCTTCCACCCTTAAAAAGGCAACTTGTTAAACACTAAATCTTTTGTACCCTCTCTCCCAAATTATTATGTTGAAATCCTAATCTCCAATGTGATAGTATTAGGAGGCAATCCTTTGGGAGGTAATTAGGCCATGTGGGTGAAGCCCTCATAAATGGGGTTTGTGTCTTTAAAAAAGGGACTTCAGAGAGTTCTCTCACCTTCTCTGCCATGTGAGAATATTAGAAGATAGCAGTGTGCAGTCTAGAAGAAGGTCTTCACCAGAACCTGATCATACTCCTGCCTTGATTTTGCACTTTCCAGCCTCCATAGCTGTACGAAAGAAATTTCTGTTGTTTATAAGTCACCTTGTCTATTTTAATCTTCTATAGCAGCCTAAACTGGGTAGGACATAACCCAATTTTATTTTAGAAGTAGAACTGATAAAGTACTAATAAAATTAGAAGAAGGATGTAGAAAAGAACAGCTATACAGTTGAGAAGGAAGAAGTAAAATGACTGTTTGCTTTTCTTTAAATGAGTGCATCATCCTCCCATAAGGTCCAGCCTTCTTCCTCTGTCACAGAGGTCTCTGAACTTGATGGTCATGCACCCCTGTCAACAACAAATGCTTGAGAATATACCCCAATGTGGGTTTGTTTGTTTGTTTATAAATCATATTCATGTAGTAGTGCCACACTAATACATTATGAATGTTAACATTTCAAAAGATTTTTGTGTGTGCATTGTATATTGTAAAAAGTAAAAAATTAGAAAAAAAAGAGTATCTGTACACATTCTGATACATCTAGCACATTGTTCCTTGTATCCTTTCAATCAGATTCATTAAGAGTAATTATAGTGCTTTATCACAAAAATTGTAAAAATATGCAAAAGTAGACATGAAAGCATTATAAATCCCCATGCACTCATGACTCAGTTTTAATAACTGTTTATGGCCAATCTTATTTCATCTCTACCTCCCCAAATCTCACTCTCCTATGTTATTTTGAAGCAAATCTCAGATATAGAATAATTTTATTTTTAATACATCAAAATTACGTTATAGTCCACCTAATTAACATAAAAGAAAATGAGTGAAAGAAAAAAATGCAAAGAAAAGGGGACAGAAGGAAGGAAGAAAAGAAAGAGGTAAATAACCAATAAACCAACTAAAAAGGAAAGAAGAAATCATGAGGGAGTGAGAAACATAGTTTGCTATAATTTTATTCCTGTACATGCCAATTTAAATGAAGTAGCAAAATTTTGATTTGGTGCAAGCTAATTTGCTTTATTTGGAAACTGATCCCAGTTAGTACATATTTACCTTCAAAGAGTTAAGTTGTGCTGCAAACTCATTGATTCCAATGCCTATGGGCTTCAAACACTTCTAGATGGAATTCAGACTCTGGGATCATTTGGTCCTACCTGGAAGGTGGTCATTATAGAACCAAAACCACCTTATTTTGGGTTTCCTTGTCACTAAAACAAACAAATAAAATAAAATCTGGCATTTTTCTGACCTATGGTTTTATTTTGTTTTGTTTTTCACTGTAGCTAAAAGACTTCAATAATGATAGAAAAATGTAAAACTTCAGAAGATTAAATACCAGCACATAGCAGTGATCACATTTCACTTATAGGAGGATAATCAAATAACTTTCCTCCAACCTCAGATACAGACAATCATCTTCTAAGCTCACAAATACAGGACTCATTCTTGTGGGCGCTAGATGAAAAGACAGGTTTATCTTGTCCCAAGGCCAAGGCTATTTTAATATTAACTGACCTTGGACTCTACCAACCTCCAGAGGGAGCCCTGTGGCAGCCAAATCTAAGGCTCAGCAGCAAAAGGGCCCAAATTAGTTTGAAGTGCCAATGCAATGTTTATGTAGTGAGGCAATATTTATGATAAACACGACCCAAATGTTGGTGTTCAATGGGTTAAAGATCAATTGTAGCAATTTCAGGCTAGAGAGCACCTTTGATAAGTAAGCAGTTTGCTGCTATGACAGTGTAGCCTCTTGAATCCACGGACAGGAGCAAGTAATCAAGTGAAACGATCTCTACCATTATTTGTATTTCCTATATTTTTACAGATGGCAATTATGGGAATCCAGCCAACTGTGCCACCTGGGAAACTCTATGAGCTAAACACTGTAGTACATTGGGGTAGCAACATGGCTCTGAATAGCCACAAAAGCCTACCTTTGTGGAGGCTTTACAATATACACCATACGTAAGCCACTGTGAGATCATGAAACTCAACATTCTCATCTACAATATCTCTGATTGTGTATTAAGGAAGAGTAATCTGGGAAAAAAAAAAAAACAAAAAAAACCACTGCTTGATATAAAGGAGGAAGGGATCTTTTTTTAAAATCAACAGAAAATCTAAAATCTTAACACTAATTCATCAGCCTTCAACTATAATGATTATTTAAAAATTCCTGTAGTACTTTGGGGATCATAGTGAGGCTAATCCCAGGGGCTTACAGTTTTCATGTTTGCATTCTGTTAGGGGTCTTTAAACTTATTCTCTAAGAATGAGAGTGATAAATTCAGTAATATTGCTTTTTATTTATATAACATCTATCATTCCAAGCAGTCTAAAGGCGTTCAAAAAATGGATATACTTGCAGACTAGACATCATAAATGCTTTTGAAACATGGCAGGTTATTAACTAAACAAGTAACTCACTTGTGGACTAATTTTAAATGCATGTGTCCCTGCTTTTTGAATATGGTTCAACTGAGAAAAGAAAACCCTCCTGTAAACCTAATACCATTTAGCTTATTCAACCACACACTATGCTTTTTAAGGTACAAATTCTGACAATAAAATATCAATTTTTTGAAGTATCCACCCCCAAAGTGCCAGCTGATACGATTGATTATCTGTGATGCACCATTTCACTCTACTCTTCCAGAAGTACAAAGACATAGGTTAAGCAGAGAAGATATGGCAGATGAGGAAAAACCCAGGAAAAGGAAACCAGTGCTGTCCTTTTGGGGGGATCACAGAGACTTGATAAGGGAAGAAGTTTGGCCTTTATAGGATTCAAATTCATTTTTAATTAATTGTAAGTAAAAATGCCAAAGATGACGCACATGTTTCTTGACCCAGCCAGACTTCTGCAATCTGATTTCTTGTTTTCATTTACAAGCAAAAAAAAAAAAAAAAAGGTACAATATGCCCATTGTGAAATAATTTGGTGATGTTTCTGGAAAGTAAGTGGGGAAAGGGGGAAGCAAAGTAGTCCCTCATCCCACTTCAGCTGATACAACTGAGGTTTTCTTATGTACTCCTGTAACAGGCTGCTTTCCACCATGCTGGATGATTTCCAGTGGAAACTGGTAAATCAACCCAGAGACTCCTTCAAGAACAGCAGTGGAACTTAACAAGCAGTGTAAGAACTCAGGATTCCCTTGATTCGGCTAATCCATCACAAGGCCACTACCCAGGACTGCCTTGTTGATGCACAAAAGAGGAACTAGTAGCAGTCCTTTGTATCCTCCCTGTCCCTTTACGTTGTGGCACTTGATGTGACTGTTTAAGGAGTGTTTGGTTTCTTTGGCCCTTAAGAAAGATACAATGAATGAAATAGTGGAACAAACCAGCTCTGTTTAAGCAGGTAATGCTTGTTTATTTAGACTAGAGGACTTATAAAAATATATAGATCCCAGATTCCACCTTAGACATCAGACTGTGCAGTTGGGGCTCAGGAATCTACATCTTTACAACATTGCCCAGGTAATTATGATTCTTAGCTAAGTTTGAAAACTGGGGGACTAGCTTTTCAAATATACCCCTAAATCCTACCCAGATTTTAGTTTTAAATCTATTTCTTTCTCCTTAGGCTCTAATCAGAGACAAAGTAGGATACTCCTCCCTTTCCCAGGCCTTTATATCCACAGAATGAGTGTTGAATAATTTATCCCATTGCTTACCAAACATTTGTTTCATATGCCAAATAAAGACACAAACCCAGAGATGTTAAGTGCCTGGGTTAAGGTTGCACCGTATGTGAATGAGAACACCATGGCAAGAAAGCTGGATATCTTAGCCTCCACGGCCAGATGAGCACTCCTTTTCTTCTCTTTTTTTTCCCAAGTAAGAAAAATGGGGGCATCTAGGGGCTTCCTCGAAAAATCAGATATAAATTAGGGTAAGTGTAGATATTCATCTCCAGGCAACATCTCTCTGAGATGAAGACTTAAGAAACATATCAACCAAATACAAACGTGTGGACCTTTGGGTCCCAATTTGCAAAAAATGTGAAGATAAAAAAGTTTATGAGACAATCAGGAAAATAAGAACACTGTGTGGATACTTAATGACATTAAACAATCATATTTAATTGTTATGTGCATGGCTATCTTATTATAGTTATCTATTTTTAAATCCTCACATTTTAGAAATATATACTGAAATATTTATTAATGCAATAATGTCTGGATGCTTCAGCTCCAGTGGTGTAATAAGGGGGAGAACAGCTGTGATGAAACACATAGTTTTGAGACATGATTGTCTGAGTTGATAATACTGAATCCAAGTGATGAGTATGCAGGGTTTATTGTGCTATTTTCTCCTATTCACGTATTTTTAAATTTTTTCATCATAAAACATTTTAAATGTATTTCGCAAAAGGGCTGGCTTACAGTTTTGTAGGTTATTTAACTCACATGTATAATAATATGTTTATTAGTGAGGTACATAACTTGATAAAATAACAATAACTTTACATATTCAGGAAAAATCACCTTGGCTTTCCACCATGGCTTTTGTGGAAGATGAGACGAATAGCAGACATTTAAAGTAGAAACTATGACTCTCCAATAATTTCAAGACTCTCTTTCAAGGAGCAAAACACTTCTGTCATCTATTACACTATGATGAGCCTAAAACTGCAGTAGATAGTCTACTGAAACAATTAAAGCATTCAATAATTGTAAAAGATCAATCACCTATTTCATACAAATTTTCATAAACCAGACTATACTCGGGGAACTGTTTATTGCCTCAAAATAAAATGAGGGCAGCCACCCAGATCTGGTTAGGAGGTAAATTCATTACAGTGTTAAGTTTAACACCAATTTCCAAATGCACATAAGAAGCTGCAAAGTTCAGACTTTGAGGCTAAACAGCTCTGCCTTTCTCTTTAGTCCTGCCCACTACTTTCTTTCTGAATCTGTGAAGAGCTGTGACTCTTGAAGGGCAGGACCTACCAGCATTCTTTATGACTTCAGTCATGGTAAGCTCTCAAGTTAAATTAAAGGTGTTTGGGGTTTATGTTTTTAAACAGTAATGAAATAGCCAACAAGTAAAACTGGAAATAACTTTCTCCTATGACCTAGAAATAGCAGTAGGAACTCTAAGTGGGAAACAGAAATAGGACTCTGGAAATATAATGTTTTATGTGTTTATTTTTCTTCCAGAACTCCAAATAGTTGCCTTGGCAGGAAGGCTGCCCTCTAACTGCTCCCTTCCGAAGACTAGGAGGTGTTTACAGAAATTGAAAGTTCCAGCAGTACATTTCCATGAGCTCATTACCAGTTCCATTTATACCTTTTAGATTTCACATGTACAAATGAATGTCCTTGCAGTATAAACTCCTGCTTTCAGCTTGCATTTTAATTACAAACAAAGTAGCAGAAATCAGGTACTCAGTTACTGTAACATAATGGCAGGGCATCTTTAGAATCTGTGCTTTGGTCACTATTATTCAAAGCAGCTCCAATGCCCGTCTTGCCTGCCTCTTTATGCTAATCATCCTAGCCCACTTTGCTCCTCCTCCTTCCAGCCTCCCTTAAAGAACTGTGCACTTTCAGCTGTCACCGAGGGTAACTCAGATTAGGCTTAGAAATCACTTGACTTAACTCAGCAGCACTTTTTTTTTTCTTTGTGTATGTATTACTTTAGCAGTCTTCTTTAAATACCAGAGGCATTGGATTTCATGTCGGTAAAAGGAATTTAAAAATGCCAAAACTGTAATCTATTAGAAATAGTTAATTTGTAGAATTTTACTCTATAAGGGGGTTTAGTTTCAATTCATTTTGAAATGAAAGAATAATTAAGTTGTATTTTTAGCCAAATGAGTTGGCATCTTTAGGAGAAGTAACATTGGTCATTATTTATTTCAAGAATCATGACTGGAAAAAGCTTGGAAGTTTAGTAGAGGAGTATATGTTGTACATGCAAAGACAAGATCTGCATGAATCTATGTATTTCTGGGTGTCTGGTGAAGGCCATTTTAGGTGACTGGCCAAGAGAAAGAGTGCTCTAGTGATCCTTGAGTCACAGCCATACTGCTAGGACCATGACTACCATACCAAGAAAAGGCAGCAGCCACCTGCTTGGCAGTTTGCACACCTGTCAACTGAAGCTCCAGGAGGACCGGCAACAGCAAGGTAAGTCAGTCCAGCTCATGAGTTGCATGTTCTGTGACCTTCTGTGCATTTGCATTCCTAGAAGAATGGTGGGCTGGTGAAGGACCCAGGGAAGCTCTGACATAATAGTGATGCATAAGGGTGGGTTAACTTGGATTCACTATTGATTTTTAAAGGACTATGGAAGACTGTCAAGAATGCATATTCCTTGGAGCTATCATTCAGAAACTTATATTCTTAAACTTCTAGCCACTGTCAGTTTTTTAGAGTATGAGAGATTTTGTCTAATTCAAAACACCCATCTGGGCAAGGCTGAGTCAGCTACAAGGGGGATTCAGCTGACAGTAGCTTTAAGTTAGCCTGGAGCTTTCTCTACCATCCTACCACTAGTGGGACCCTTTTTTCACTTTGTTTAAGCCTAATTTTGTCTGGATCTCTGGCTCATTCATTGTGGGAAAAATAAACATATTCTTGACTCTTTCCTTTTTATGGTCTAGGGACAGCTGGATACAGTCAGGGAAAAGTGTCATGTTTCACTTGCTGGGCACTCATTCAAACTAAACTATCTACCTCCCAGCCATTTTCACCATCAGTCTTTTTAAATTTTCAAATCCACTCCCCAGCCAGCTGAGTTAGTTCAAATGGTTGACATGAATAGACAAGATGATCCCTCCAATTCACTCTGACAGGGACAGCAAATGACACTTGTGGGAAAGGCTGGGTCTCTTATGGATGACATCATCACTCCACAGAGGTTAAGGATTCACCAGACACTTCTAACTTCTCTTCAATAACCTAAGATAGATCTTTTTATGTGTGGATCTAGGCAATGAGCTCTTTAATTATTTTTCTATAGACACAGTTTCAGATTTCAGTGGTGTGGAGAGTGCTGGCTAAAGGGCCAAAACCTCCCATTTCCAAGATGGAATCTGTGTGCCAACAGTCACATGAATGTGTCAGGCCACCTCTCTGTGTCGGTTCCTGGAGCTGTATAACGTAACTTCATGCTCTACAAGGCTTAGCATAGTGTGGGCAGAAAATACTTTGTGGTAAATGAAAACCATGTGAACTTTTTAGACCACGCTTTACTACTAGGGCTCAAATAAATTTTGAACCAAGTACCCTAGAATGTAAAGTCCTGGAATGTGTCAGGGCTAAGGCATAGCACTGTAAAATGCTCTTGCTTCTCTGTTAGTAGACAATTCTAGTTTATCAGGGGTTTTGTTTTCTGTTGACTTTGCTTGAAATGTTCAAGTGACTTCCCCCTACTTCAACTGCTAATATAATATTTTTAATAGAAAATTTGGTGGGCGAGAGCCTAAAGAAGATGATAGGAAGTCTCCTGTAACCCCACCACCCAAAGATAATAGATATTAACATTTTAATGTGTAAACTTTTAGACTCTTCTTCTATGCACATGTATGAATTCTTCTTTTGCTTGATTTTTAAACAACATGGACTTGTTCTGGATACTTTTGTAAACAGTGTTTTGTAAACTGCTTTTTAATTTAACGACAGAGGATGAACAAATTTCCAGGTCATTAAATATTCTTCTACAACCTTATTTTTAACAGTTGCACACTGTTCCTTTATATGGATGTAGCAAAATTCCCTTAGACAATTCTCTACTGTTAGACATATTAGTTATTTCTAATATTTTAACTATTATAATTAACACTGGGCTGCACCTAAACTAACGAATAGAACTTTGCACTGATATGGGATTATTTTCTTGGCATAAATTCATAGAGGTGAAATTGTGGAGTCAAAGGATTATACATTCTTAAAAATTGTTTTTGGCCAAATGACCCTCCTATCAACAGTGTTGGAGTATGTTCTCAGTAATACTACTATTTTTTAAATTTCTTCTCAATTTCATAAGTGAAAAATAATGCCCTACTGTTGTTTTAATTTAAGGCAGGCTATCCTGAAGATCTCTCCTTTACTGGCTGTATTAATCAAAGTTCTCTAGAGGGACATAACTAATAGAATATATATATATGTGTATATGTGTGTGTATGTATGTGTGTGTGTATATATGTGTGTGTGTATATATATATATGTGCGTGTGTGTGTATGTATATAAAGGGGAGTTTATTAAGTATTAACTTACACAATCACAAGGTCCCACAATAGGCTGTCTGCAAACTGAGGAGCAAGGAGAGCCAGTCCGACTCCGAAAACTGAAGAACTTGGAGTCTGATGTTCAAGGGCAAGGGCAAATAGCATGGGAGAAAGATGTAGGCTGGGAGGCTAGGCCAGTCACCTTTTCACGTTTTTTTGCCTGCTTTGTATTTGCTGGCAGCTGATTAGATTGTGCCCACTAGATTAAGGGTGGATCTGACTCATATGTTAATCTCTTTTGGCAACACCCTTACAGACACACTGAGGATCAATACTTTGTATCCTTCAATCCAATCAAGTTGACAGTCAGCATTAACCATCACACTGCAATATCCAGAGAAGCCTGGAAATAATCACTATGATGACATACTTCCCAAAATACCCACAAGACTGGTCTTCTTTCTCAGACTTAGCTTTTTGCCTAGAATGTTTTGAAAGCAACCATATTCTTCCACACCCGAGTCTCAAAATATCTGCCCACATAAGCCACAGTCCATAAAGTTGTGAAGCATGCTAATGCGGTCCAGACTGGCCATTGACTGCTACAAGAAATGTCATCTAGTGATTTGAGCTGACAAGTGACACTGGGTAGTATTTGCTGTGTTGCTAAATAGCATTCCAGTTACTGTCCTTGAGTTAGAGAGTGAGGTCTGGCTTTATTCATGGAATCATCCTGGGTTCATGGCTTTGGCCTTTCTCCAGCCAGCCTAAGGTTCTACCTCTATTATTGAGCATATAGACTATGATTAATTGACATTTGACACTTCTGTAGGCGTGACTAGCTTCAACACATACATGTTTTCTTTTCTTTTCTTTTTTTTTTTAAGATGGAGTCTTGCTCTGTCGCCCAGGCTGGAGTACAGTGGTGCACGATATTGGCTCACTGCAACCTCCGCCTCCCGGGTTCAAGTGACGCTTCTGCCTCAGCCTCCTGAGTAGCTGGGACTACAGGCACACTCCACCATGCCCGGCTAATTTTTGTATTTTTAGTAGAGACAGGGTTTCACCATATTGGCCAGGCTGGTCTCAAACTCCTGACCTTGTGATTCACCCATCTTGGCCTCCCAAAGTGTTGGGATTACAGGCATAAGCCACCGCACCAGCCTCAACACATACATATTTTATTTTCTAACCCCCCATGCCATATGCTAAAATGCTTAGTGTTAACTCCCCAGTATTTAACTCCTTCCACCTAGTCACTCACAAAAGTGTAATTTTGAAGTGATTACATAGATAAAAGTCACTTATTCTTCAGTAGTTATCTGGGCAACAACAATGTGCAAAGTGTTATGCTAGATGCTGAATATGCAAATTGAACTAAGTCAACTAAGCCATGGTTTCCTGTCCACATGGAGTTTACTATGACAACAAATGCTCTATCAGTCCAGAACACGAGTCCAGGAGGCTCATCTCCCAACTTGTTGCTATCTTCTAGCTTCTCCTGTGATATTTTGAATCCATTTATCTCTAATATTGACTCTATGACCACATTTGTAAATGTTAATTTACTTGTCTACACAGCCTCAGCAACGCTCATTACATATTATATGTACTAGGCAGACAACCATCCTTATGTGTTATGGTGCTTTAAAATTTACAAATGGTCTCATATACATTATCTCATTAATTTTTACAACAACCAGATGAAATAGTGTAGTCAAGCTTCTTCAGGGAAACAGAACCAATTGGATGTGTGTGTGTGTGTGTGTGTGTGTGTGTGTGTGTAGAGTTGACTCTTGAACACCACAAATTTGAACTGTTCAGATCCACTTTTATGTGGATTTTCTTCCTTTGCCACCCTTGAGACAGCAAGATCAGCCCCTCCTCTTCCTTCCCCTCCTCAGCCTACTCAACATGAAGACAATGATGAAGACCTTTATGACAATCCACTTCCACTTAATAAACAGTAAATATATTTTCTTTTCCTTATGGTTTTCTTAGTAACATTTTTCTCTAGCTTATTTTATTGTAAGAATACAGTATATAACACATATACAAAATATGTATTAATCGACTGTCTTATGTTATTGATAAGGATTCTGGTCACCAGTAGGCTATTAATAATTAAGTTTGGGAAGCATCAAAACTTATATGCAAAATTTTAACGAGAGAGAATAGAGAGAGAGAAGAGAGACAGAGTGAGAGAGTGGGGGATTTATTTTAAGAAATTCACTCCCACAACTATGGAGGTTGGCAAGTTCAAACTGCAGTGTAGACTGACAGGCTGGAGACCCAAGTGAAGAGTTAATTCTGCAGTTGAGTCCGTTCTTGGTTGCTCTGGGGAAGTCAGTCTTTTGTTCTATTCAGGCCTTTGACTGATTAGATGAGATTCACCCACTAATGAAGGACAATCTGCTTGAGTCAAAGTCTACTAGTTTAAGTGTAAACCTCATCCAAAAACATCCTCACAGAAACATCCAGAATGTTGACAAAATATCTGGGTATCATGGAAGAGCCAAGCTGACACATAAAACTAATAATCACAGGCAAGTATTGTTATCCTCATTTATAAAGATGTGGAAACTGTGAATCTTCAAGGTCAAGATGACTTTTCCAAAGTTACACAGTTATTTAGAGCTGCTTTCAATGTACTTTCTGTTACATACAGCTGTCTCATAAAATCTATGATTTCTAGTATTACAATGTTTAATTTTTAAAATTGATCTATACTAGAGAAACCTCTCCATGGATAACCAAGACATTTTTGAATGCCTCATGATTTTCTTTGTGTCTTCTGACACCAATTCTCTGAGTGTCCTACAATTCAATTCTGACACTACCCAGAATTAGTGAAGACCCACAAATGAAGGACTTACTCTCACAAGACTGCCCCATTTCAGATTCCAACAATGATTTTCAGCTGTCCCCAAGCAACCTGTACTTCTGTCAGGACAATT